CTTTTCCTATTTTGTATAGTTTTTCCAATTTTTTGTTTAACTAAAAAAGTTTCAAATACATTATGTACACAATCCCCCACACACGCACCACCCCCTCACTCTCCGCCTTCATAGGGGGCAAACTTCTGAACCTTGACTTGGTGTTCTAGAGTCTCTCAATCCAATGTGTTTTATTGGTACTTTTTCCCTGGACTACAAAGGCATTATGTGTAATTAAACATCAGTGTCTCAGTAGGAGTACCTGTCAGGGGCACCAGCAGAATTTCTAGGACTAAATAAGCACCACAGAATAAGCCACAGAAAAAGTGAGCACAGACTTGCCTATGATACCCACGAGGGTCTCTGTACCAGGAGGGCCAATGCTTAAAGGCTCCATTACTTTACTTTATGTGGGTAATACTCTAGAAAATAAAATGCTAAAATTATTCTCTTACCCTCATGCCTGGTAGGCCTGGATATCCTGAGCGACCTGGTGGACAGGAATTAGGACACTGCCAGAGAGAGAGAGAGAGAGAGAGAGAGAGAGAAAGGAAAGAAAGAGTGTGTAAACTCAGCCCCCACTTTGTGAGGTAGTATTTCTTTTTTAGGGAGGGATTCCAGCTACTGAACCCCAGTGCAATTATATTCATTAAATAACTCTAAACGCCCCTTTCCTTTTTATCATTTTTAGACTCAAATACTTCTGACAGAAAAGTGTGTATAACAAATACCCTCCTCCATGTATCTACCATCCAGATTTAATAAACGTTAACATTTTGTCATATTTATTTCAAATTTAATTTACTAAGGAAACAATGTTTACAGACAGCCTATTGTACCAGGACCTGATCCACTTCTCCTCCCCACCTCCACTGGAATAGCTCTATCCTGACGTTCGTATCTCTTTATCAAAGGGGCCATTGCATTTAGTGAAGTTTACCATCATCTGACTATTAACCTACAAGTAAAACAAAAGAGTTATTTGACTTCAATCTCTTTAAAATTGGAGTGCTGTAGGAAAAAGCATGCCTTACTCTGTAAAGTAAAAATATTATATAAAAACAAAGATACTTCTATAATGAAAAACTGTTATACTCTGAGTATACATACAAGCCACAAGTCCATTAGTGTTACACATTGCTCTGCCACTCAAGTAAAAGTAAAACACAGAACCACAGTATCTTGTAAAGGGATCTTTTAAAGAGAACTCATCTGAAGACTACATGGTCTTTGAATTAAAACTATATTTTGTTCAAAGGAAAATATCTTACCAGTGGATCTCCATCATGAAAGCCAATTGCTCCCTAAA